AGCTAAACAAAACACCCCAAAAAAATTTTACATTTTCATAATAAAATAAGTCAAAATTTCAGCATCATCTGATTTCATCATCATCCCCGACAATTAATAAATAAGTATTATATCTTATATGTATAAGTTGTATAATATATAAAATATGCATTAATTTATTTTATATGAGATATATTTTTATTAACTATCTTAATTTATTGAATTCGATAAAGTAAATATTTAGTCATATAATTTACAATTTTTTTTATCGTTTAAATAATTTAAAAATAAAAAGCAACTATAATATATATTTTTATTTAATATTTAAAAAAAAAAAACTATTTAACTTGAAATAAAAATTTATACACCACTAAGCATTGATTTAAATTCTGCATCAAATTTGCTTTCATCAAATTCCTCATGATCAAATTCTTCATGATCCAATTCTTCATGATCCAATTCTTCACGATCTAATTCATTTTCATTTAATTTCTCATTCGAATTTTTATCTTCTTCATCTAACTCAAAATTATTTAATACTATCAGACTTTCTATTTCTAAGTTTTGATATTCAACTTTGAGTTTAAAAGAATTTATTATTTCATTTAAATTATTTAAATTATCAGAGATACTCTTTTCTTTAACTTCAGAAAATACAGCAAAATCTTGAAAAATGCTTTTTATTTCTTCTTTGGTTAAATCTAATCCATAATAGTGTAATTCTTGTTTTGTATTAGATATCAGATAAGAGCTTATTTTTACTATTGATTCCAAATTTTTAGTTTCTAAATTATTATAGCGATCTTCTAAAAACTATCTACAACGTAACCAAATACGTTCATAACTTGCAGCATGTAGATGTACTGAAAATAGTTTAACTGCCAATGAAGAAAGAGCATCTAGCTTAGTTTTAGTATCATCACCAGTAGTTTTCCACTATCGAACTGGGCTATCAATATCTGGTACATAAGATCCATTATATGGTTCTTCATTATAGGCATATTTATATAATTGTGCTTTTAGTATATCCAAGTCACTTTTTTTAATATTAGATCCAACCATTCTGGTTCATAAGTGATCTGCAATTCTAGCAACTCGAGCAAATTGTGATAGTTTAATTCCAATCCCTATAATTTTTAAATTGTAAGTATATAAAAAACTTAAATATTAAAAGTGCTAATATATTAATACTAGCCTCGATATTTGGAATGCAAATAATAGGCTAATAAATATTTATCATAATCGAATATTTGAAATCTTTCATTAAAAATTGAAATACATGTTTAATAAAACATTAAATGATGATCTTGAAAAATATTTTTAATTGCAACAGCTAGTTTAATATAGCCTAAATAATAATCTGCTAAAGTAGCAGTTTTGCTCTCAAGACATGTAATAGTATCTTTGATCGGCTTTAAAACTTTAGAAAGATCTAAAATATTATCATAAAACCCATGAGACTTCAAATATATTTTAACAATCTTTCCTGTTTTATTACTAAATAAATATAGATTTTGATCTAAAATCTTTAAATAAATTTATAAAAATTATTAAAACAAAATTTTTAATATTTGTATACATTTATTTAAAATATATTTACCTCTTTTAAAACTAATTTGTAATGATATACTGAATATATACATTCATATGCGCTAGTCCAGCGAGTTTTAGTGTAACTTTTTAATCTACTGCCATATATATTTTTATTTACAATTAAAAAATATAATTGATATAACAAATTAAAAAAGTTAACAATTGCTGAACATTGGTAAAGAATTTTTTTTGCAAAATTTTGCTTTAAAATATCACTAGAAATTAGATTCATACAATGTACAATACATCGCAAATTTAAAATATGAGAATACTGATCAGAAATTAATCGTCATGCAACTGAACAATTTGAACCACCATCAGTTACTATAGCTAAAAATTGATATATATCAAGTTCATCAAATATTTGCTGAATGCAATCTTTTAATACTTCTCCAGAATGACTTTGATTAGATAAATCAACCAACTTCCAAAGATATTCTCGTCCGCTAGAAGTGTGAATTACAAAATTCCATAATGATTTTCTATTTGGATCTGTCCACCCATCCAATCCTATATAAAAAAAAAATATATATATATATATAATTAAATTATAAATTTATAAACTATAGTCAAACTCCTTTATAGTCACTTTCTTTATAGTTACAAAATTGATATAATTATGAATTTATTTTTACCAATTATTTATAACTATATAAAAAATATCTCTATATTAGTCACACCTCTTTACAATTACGGTTTTTTGTATCTCAAAGGTGCAACTATAGAGAAGTTTGACTATATATAAATTATATATAAATAAATACCAAAAGTTAGATTATTTGATTTTTCTAAAACATTAATAATATTTTGATTAATTTTAACAATTTCTGCAGTTAATAGTCATCCTGCAAGTAATTGTCTTGATGGTAGCTGATATCCAGGTCTTAATTCTCGCAATGCATCAATAAAATATAGATTGCTAATAATATGAAATGGTATATTACATACTATAAATGCTTTTATTAAAGCTGAATTAATATTATGTTCACGCTGAGAGATTAATTTTGTACTTTCTAAAAACTCAGATAATGATGCTTGACTGTTTGTTACTTTTCATTTTTTTTTACTCAACTCAATACCAGGTACCAAGTTTTGAAATACTGCTTGGTTACTACCTTGTCGATTGGCAATAACTTGATTATAAAAATCTTTAACTTCTTTGTTTTGGTTTGGACAATCTAATGCCAAATGTTCTTCCAAGTCCACAGGTTTAGCACGTGCCCAAAATATTCTACAAACTTTATATCATCCTGAACAATGGCCCTTAACAGAAACACCTTTATCAAAAAAACCCCAAACTCTTGCAGGTAGATGTCCAGCAGATTTTTTTTAAATTAAATCTTAAGAATTTTCATGTTGAGAATTGTCGTATTGAGAACTTTCATCTTGAAAATTTTTATCTTAAAAATTTTCGTCTTGAGAGTTTTCATCATAAGAATTCTCATCTTGAAAATTTTCATTATCAAATTGAGATTTATTCATATTACAATGTAATAAATGTAAAAAAAAAAATGATTTAAATTTGAAAAATTTTGAGTTAAAAATCTAAATTAATTAAAGGTAATAACGGTAAATTTATAATAATTTAAAATACTAACTCAAAAATGTTAATTGATAATTAAAATACTTAAAAAATATTCTCACAAAAAACTTGTACATATAAGCTTGAAAGTAAACTTATAGCAATAAATGCTAAATTAAATATATACATAGATTGATATTTTCATAATTTGATTTATTAATTAAAATTATTTGATATCAAGCCTGTAAAAGCTTGACATAGTAAAAGATAAATCAATTATTTAATTTTGTAATAATTTTTATATACTAAATCACTAATTGGTGTATATCAATATTATTTAATAATAATAATAAATTTAAATTATATATTTGAATCAATAATTTTTTTTTTAAAAAAAAAGCCTTGAATATATGCCTTTATAAAGCCATTATAGGAATAAAGTATCATTTTAAAAGATATTAATTTACAGAATCTTAATTTGTTATAGTAAAAATATATACTACATTATTTAAGTTTGACAAAAAATGAATCTATTCACTGATAAATATATGTACTATATATTAAAAAATTGTTACTTTCTACCAAACCATTTCACTTCTTGTCATATCGGGTTAACAAATAGGGTTACTTGAAATCTAGCTCAGAATCGTAGCGTCTGTCTAGACACAGCATCAGTAAGACCATTTAGACTTAATTCACAGTTGAGCAACACTTTATTGCAACAATGTGGCACTAGTAATCATGAAGATCGGTGCTTGTTCAATTACTTTATATTTTATTAATCTTGGAGAGAAAGAGATGTTTTAGCTTACTAATCTCTTTCTCTTATTTATATTACATCATTAATATGTTAAACTACAAATTGATGAAATAAACTCTGTTTGCATGATCATTTATTGATCTATTTAATATATCGTTATGTTTACAATACTATTCTAAGCCATCGGTTTCTACATATACACCTGATCTATCAGTTCTGACATAATCATTACCGAACATACTCCAAATATAGTACAGAGGGTACTGGTCTTTGCTACGATACTTCTTATTCTTATTCTATTAACACAGACCTTCAATTAATATACTACTTTCTATTGCATTATTTTTTTTTATATATTCATTTATTTATTATTATTTTAGTATTACAGTATTACAGTATTACAACATCTTGCATAATCACAATCATATATGCAATACGTGATAATTACTGAATACAATCTCTATATTGTACACATTATTGAACTAAAAAGACAATTGTATATTATAAAAATTTTACATATATAATGTTATTTATTTAGATATTTAATCATATAATATCTATTTAGTCAAATATTTAGACATTTAATCAAATTTAGGATTTTGACATTTCAACAAAAATAATGCTATGTCAAAATATATTTAGACACCAAAGTGTCTAAATTTTTGACTAAATAGCATATTTTAGCTAACAACACTAGGTTGACCAGCAAATCACCAATTAATTTGCTATTAGAGATTATAAAATACAAATTACTTTATCGATAATTAATTAAAAAATAATTGAATTTTTTTTATTGATATTCCCAATTTAAACTTCTTTTTGGGCATGTGTAGAGTTAAAAATTATAAATGTTGGTATAAATACCAAGTTATTTTACTATATATTAACCTTATATATAATACTTAGAAAGTGCTTATAGATTTGTCATATGCTTGCTCATTTCTATAAAAATTTCATCTAGATTTTCTATTGGTTAACTTTTGTTATACTAAAATATTATACCAATTATACAATTATACTATACTAATTATATGGTTATTATACTATTTTTATTATTATTATATGGTACGTATCGTATAATTGTCTATTCCTAGGTGTGTGCGGTGCGTTATTATTTGCCCGGTTGAGCCAAATTTTTGTTATTCCAAATATTTGCTGAATAATGGTGTTATTTGACAATTTATGATCATAATTGGTAGGAAGTCGTCGGCTAAGTTTTAATTCGAATAAACGGAAATGTTTCAAATATTTCGTAACACATGAAAAAAATAA